ACAACACCAAGTCAAGGGTTAAGATCCCCTTACCGGTCATCTTTTTAAAAAAAAAAAAGAAATCACAACCATATTAAATTAATATTATTTTGATTTCATTGTTTTTATAGTTTTGGTCATAATTTTTTAAATTTTAGTTTAATAGCTGTTTAAAAGCTAGTAATAAACCAATTGAAGTCAGCATTAGGAATCCATAAGTATTTTTTTCCTCTAAAAGGGAACATACATGATTCAAATGAAGGACAATGAACTACATGACCCCTGAAGTTTTTCTAGCACAAAAATATGACCAAAGTAAAATCCTATATCACATAACTAAAAATGATGCCTCTGGTGAAAAAGTCTTCCAAAGGTAGTAGTTAAAACATAGGCCCAAGAATCAGTGAGCCTAGATCCAAACCCAGCTCCATCCCTTACTAGCTGTCAGACCTTGGACAAGTTATATAAGCTCTCTGAATTTTAGTTTCTTCATTTGTAATATGAGAAGACTAAGTACATATAAGGCTCATAGGGTGGTTGTGAGGGCCTGATGAATTAATACCTATAAAGCATTTAGATCAGTACCATGCAAATAGTGTATGCTTAATAAATGGTAGCTATTTTTCATCATTATTATTACCCACATGGCATTCTATATACAAAACTACATTCTGAAAATATCAAGTTTTCTACAAATGATATTGTGCCCAAAACATAACAACAGGTACTTACTTCTACTCCAAACAATACAACACTCCTGACTCCAGGAATCTCTGCTAATGCCGCCTCTACTTCTGGTAATACCATTGAAAACTTGGTCTTTGGAAGTACCAGTTTTACCCCTGTTAAATCAATTTCTTGAACAGTGCTTCCAAGACCTTTAGGGTACTGTTCTGTTACAATAACTGGAATTCCTAAAATCCGGGCCCCTTGCAACTGAAAAAAATAACCAAACACAGAAACAATTAGCAATATACATATGTATATGGAATGTATATCATGCTTCTGAAAATTGGAACAAATAAACAAACAAGCATACCAGTCTTTGTCCCACACTAATAATATCCCCAAAATATTTGATGGCTGGTCTGAACCTTTCTTGCATATCACAGCAGAAAAACACGGTGCTGGAAGATGTAAGATTTCCCAGGGTAGTGAGCTGAGGGAAAAAGAAAAAGGAATCATTTAGCACTTGTTATACAGTGACATTTATTTTCAGTGGAGGTCAATAAAGAAAGGAAAATGTTCTTCTTGTTTGACTCATTAAGTCAATTACTACACCTATTATAAAAAAGAAATTATCTGAATTACAGAAAAAAGTTACCCACAAAGGTGTTCTCTGAATTGCTTTTGATAATGAAAATTAGAACTAAACCGAGGGCCAACCACACAGAAATGGTTTAACAAATTTTAACATATTCACATGGCAAAACATTTTTTAGCCAATTAAAAAAATACATGTGTATATTCCTCAAAGAATTTGTACCATCTAAGGAAAAAAGCTCATAATATAATGTTAATTTAAAAAGAGCACAGTTCAATAGTATTTTAATAATGTAAAAATATTGATAAAAAGTAGAAGCAAATATATAAAAATAATAACAAGTGACTATATAATTAGAGGAGATGGTAATTTTGTTTCCTTATACCTTTCTTATATTTTCCAAGTACTATTAAAACACATTTCCTAAATTTTATTTTAAAATATTTCTTTTATAATTAGAAAAAGAATGTTATATTAGTAGAAAACTTAAATTTGTTGATGGTGTTGCTTACAAGTACAAAAAGTAAAATTTAAAATCATCTGTGGCAGACAATACAGAAGACAAAAACTAAAAAACCCCCAAAAAACCCCAATACACAGCATATCCAGAATTACTGCTAGCACATCAAGATAGAAATATTAAGATGCTATTCTCGAGAATAATTTTTAGAATTCCAAAAAAGTAATGAAATTATGCTAAGTACATAATCACTATTAAATGAACTGTCCTGAACTTTGAGAGAAACAGACCTAAGATTGACATCTGCATTCTTAAATGTATTTATCACAATCAGGAAAGTCAATGAATTAAAATGAAAATTGGATATTAGCTTCACATTAATTGCTACAGTTGTTCTACTTTAACAACTTGGGCCCAATATGGATCTACCAAAAAGCAAAAATCACAGGCCGACCCATGGCTCACTCAGGAAAGTGTGGTGCTGACAACACCAAGTCAAGGGTTAAGATCCCCTTACCAGTCATTTGTATTTATTTATTTTTTTAAAAAAACAAAAATCACTGTTGAATATAAAAATTAATCCCACTGGATTCTTAAAAGTCTATGGTGCTTCCCAAATTACAGAAAGCTCTGTAAATGATACATTCTGGTCCCAAATGAACCAATATTAGTACTCTTACTAGCCACCTCTTAAGTCTTCCCTCTAATTATCCTGTTTGTTCACCCTAAAACCACCCACAGATAACAATTAATAATTTTCTAGAGGAATCTGTCTTGATCACTATGGTGGTGGTTTCACCACCAGCACAGCATTTGACTCTGTCTTAGTATCTCTGCAGCTGGCAAACTCTTGAGAAACAACTACCAGATGAAGTAAACGAATCACTAAAAGAAATCTTTTATCCTTTATGATACAACTGTTCAGTTCGGTTTGTACTTTGCCTATGTCCTGGTCTGAGAGACTGTGGCATTTAATTTCCCTCTGGTACTGACTCGACAGATGTGTACTGATTACCCATGTGTTAGAATGTGAGAGCCATCTGTAATTCCAACACTATGTGTAGGTTTTTTCTACTTTGCCAGTAAAGTATGATTCAAATAAATATTCAAGCATCTTAAATTATATATTCTGACTTTGGTTATTTCCTTACTTAATCTCTTAATGCAAGCATCATGCCTCCACTTTGGTCATTTTCAAAAGCAGTGAGTGTGATCTGTCAGGAATTGGCCAGGAAGGCCAATTTTTGTGTATTTAGGATACTATTTTAAAAAAACAATCATTGTTTATGAGTACATATTTTAAATTCTCAGTAAACATTAAATCTTGGCTTAATAGTCTCAAAATCTACATATTTTCTTTTTAGAAATGTGAATCCTAGGTTCCTAATCATCCACAGTGTGTTTAGGGAACGTGATTCAAAGCAGTTTGCCTGTAACTGACCTATTTGAAATAACAGCAATGTGACTAAGCC